GATAGAGCCCGCAATCTGGGCACGTGCCCTCATCAGAAATTGAACCCGGACCTCTCAGTCCACGGGACAACTCTCAATCCACTGAGCCGCACTGGCTGGGCATCTGAGTTATACCTTGAAGGATGAATGGGGGTTTTCCCATCTGCGGAGTGGTCTTGGCATAGGAAGCAGTATGAGAAGGAGCGTGGAGCCTTGGAAGTGTGCACTGATGCAGGGACCAGGTCCGGAGTTGCTGGGATGGAGCAGGAGGCGGATGGAGCACGTCGCTCGGCTGTGCCTGGGTCTCTCAGCAGCTGGGCCCGGGCCCTTGCTTTCCTCTGTGTGTGTTTCTTTAAGTGGTTTCACTGGCTGTGGTATACTGGGTGGGCTGTTTTTGTTTTAATCCTTTCAGTATTTTAAAAGCCCGTTCCCCTGTCTTTTGCCGCTATCCATTCTGATGGGAAGTCTGATGTAGCTCTGTGTCCCTGTGGATAAGGTCGTTCCGTCTGGCTGCTTTCTGATTTTCTCTGATTTTCAGCGATTTGACTAGGATGTGCATAGGATTAAAAATATTCTTTTTATCCTGCTAGGTTTTCATTAAATCTCAGGAAATTTCAGCAATAATTTTTTCAAGTATTTTTTTTCTCTATCTTCATAACATTCTATCTTCTTCTGTGACTCTAGTTACATGTTAGTCTTTTTGGTGTTGTTCAATAGGACACTAAGGCTCTGTTTAATTTTTTAAAATCTGCCCTCGCCAGTTTGGCACAGCGGTTAGAGCGTCGGCCTGCGGTCCAGAGAGACCCGGGTTCGGTTCCCGCTAAGGGCACGTACCTTGGTTGCAGTTTGTCCACGGCCTGGTTGGGTCGTGCGGGTGGCAGCCCCTCGATGTGTCCCTTTCACGTCGATGTTTCTCTCTCTCTCTCTCCCTCCCACTCTATCTGAACAAAAAGTGGAAAAATGTCCTCGGGTGAGGATAAAAAAATAGATAAATAAAAATCTTTTCTTTCTGTTCTTAGGATAATTCCTGTTAATTTGTTGTCAAGGTTACTGACTCCTTTGTCATTGCTAATCTGAGTTAGCCTTAACTCCATCCAATGATTTCTAAATTTTGATAGAGTATTTTTTTAGGTCCAGAATTTTTCCCCATCCTCTGCATTCTCTGTTAGAGAATTGTAATCAATTGTAAGTGAAGTCCGATTGCCAGATGCCAGAGAAACAGTGAACCATGATTTCCACGGCTGTCATTTTAGCTAAGGAATAAAATTTAACAGAAAGTGTTTATTGCCAGTGACCTGGTTCTTCCCAAAATGTCCAGTGAGCAACCAGCAACTTCCTTTCTTGATCACCGGGTCTTAACCTTTACAAAGAGGAAGGAACGCAAATCCTGTTTCCTGCCAAGGGGCATGATTATGGGAAACTTTTTCCTTTGTTTTCCTTCTGACACACACTCTTTGTTGTGACCCTGTTACACAGGCCTGGACAGAAATGCAAAATAATTGTTTTATACTTTTCTTTAAAAAAAATTCTTTTTCTTTATTGATTTTAGAGAGAGAGGAAGTGAGAGGAGAGAGACATAGAAACATCGATGAGAGAGAACATCGATTGGCCGCCTCCTGCAGGCCCCCCACTGAGGATCTGGCCCACAGCCTGGGCATGTGCCCTGACCAGGAATGGAACTGGCGACCTCTTGGTGCAGGTTCGACGCTCAACCACTGAGCCACACCGGCCGGGCTTGAATAGTGTTCTTGTACACGATCTTTGTAATATATTAAAAATCCCGTCTTCTAGTAAAATTCACATTTCTGATGTGAATCTTGTCATTGAGGAGGCCTGTGAAAATGACCTCCGGGAGGAGGACAGGCTGCAGGGCAGCAGCCAGGTCATGTTTCACGAGGAGGCTCCTGAAGGACGTGAAGGAAACACACACTCCAGGCCCCACGCGCTGCCGTGCTCGCTGCGCATCCCCGGACGCCTGGTCCCCTTGTCCTCATCTGCACGTCAGGGTAAGGACAGCCTCGTCACTGAGTGAGGGTCAAGGAAGACCCACGCGGGGCGCTCAGCACGGTGCCTGGCAGCTGAGAGGTGCCCACGGAGCACTTGTCTCTTCTGCATCGTCCTATTGATCACCGTGGAGGCGGATCGGAAAGGGTGCACGGCTGTGACCGATACAGCTTGTTTTCCACGCAGTCCCCGTCTTTTCATGCGTTTTCATAGACTTTATGTTTAGAGCAGTTTTAGGTTGACAGGGGTGCGCTCATACATGGTCTTCAAAATTGTCATTAGAAGAAAAAATAAAAAACTAGGCCGGGCCTCCTACTCCTGAGCTAAGGCCTGTTAGATGCTTCCCAGGGGACGGCTGGTCAGCTCACGTCCTGCCCGCAGCGTCCCTCTGCCTGCACTTCTCGCCTGCAAGGCCGGGCGGCAGGACTGAGCCGGCCTCGGACCTGCTGGTCAGCCGACAGTGCGCAGGAACGTAGGCCGCTCCCCTGGGCCTGGGCCTCGCCCACCCGGCGGCCGGTCAGGCTGAGTGAGCTCACAGGAAAGACTGGCCTGACGGCGCAGGGGGAGTGTAGCTGGGACCTGGGTTCGCGACGTGAACAGGTTGTTAGGTCTCCCAAAAGGATAAGATTGACACGGTAAAGGGCAGCATTTGTGTTAAAAGACACACTGAGTAACGTACACTGATGACCTTAGTCATTCCCGAAGGGAGCCAGTGGTAAGGGTCACAGGGAGAAGCCAGGACAGCCTCGGCTTCGACTGCGTGCTCTGGTTGCGGTAGGGCTCTCCCCATCTGAGCGGTGCGCCCGATGTTTTCACCTCGTGACGAGACTGTCACCAGTGTGCCAGCGGGTGTCTCCTGTCACCTTCCTGCCAGCTGCGTCTGTAGAGCCAGCAACTTGCAGCTGAAGGCACCAGGCGTTTCGCCCGCCTTTGTCCCTGGGGTGTCGAGACCCACTCGGCCGACCCGGCTGGAAGAGCGGGGCGGCGCCTGCTGCTTTGTCTAGACCACGTTATCTTACTAACCAGGCGAGCGTGCTGGTCAGCAACCACCTTGGGAAGGTCGTATTACTTCTCTTTTTATCTTCCCACATGCCTTGCTTAACCCTGGACACATTGTAGGTGGTGAGTAAATATTTACTGACTAAAAGCAATTGGAAATTGGTGACATTGTGTCATTGGGTTTTCCCATCCTTCGGGAATAGGTTTTAGAGGTGGACACGAGCTGTTTGTCGTGAAGACAGTACAAACGTTCTCCAGCTTACTGAGGAGGGTTAGCCTGGTCTGATGATCTGTCTTCTTAACTTGTTTGCAGATTCCTTTTAAAGTAAACATGAGCTGTAGTACTGTGAACAAGTCAGTGAATCAAGTATTTTACAGTAAATGTGATTAAATGAATTCTTAAGGTTGCATCTTCATGTCCTGTCACATTCTGTTGTAATCTGGTGGGGTCACTGCAGCTACATACACATTCACACTGGTGCCCGTCGGCATCCTCCGCGGGGAAGGGTCAGGAGTGTGCCTGCGGGAAGCCTGGCTGGGTGTTCTGAGGGCCTTGCGTGCAGTTGGCCCTCGGTGACTCCTGAGTGAGGAACGCAGACGTGCTGGCCCGCCCACCGAGGGGTGGAGTTTGTTCTGAAGACCAGAATATTAGCATTGGGTTCAGAATCAAAACACATGGGTTTTGCCCTGGTTGGTTTGGCTCAGAGGTTAGAGCGTCAGCCCATGGACCAAAGAGTCGTGGGTCAGGCTTAGGGCACTTACCTTGGTTGCGGTTTGGTCTTCAGCCCTGATGGGGTCGTGTGGGAGGCAACCACTTGGTGTGTCTCTCTCACATTGATGTTTCTCTCTCCCCCTCGCCCTCCCGCTCTATCTGAAAAATCAATGGAAAAATATCCTCGGGTGAGGATCAAAACAAAACAAAAAACACATGGGTTTTAGTTCTAACTCTGCTCTTTCATTTCACTTTGTGATTGTGCACAAGCCGTAATACTTTTTCAGGTTTTAATTAGAATTTCTCAAATATAAAATGAAAGATCTGAGCAGGAATAATCATGTGATATTTAAGGACTTTCCCTCTGCTAAACCTGTGCGGAATTGTGACAGCCGACGTTCCGCACCTCTCCTCATCGGAGGCCCTCTCCCTTCCCTCTTGAGGACTCCCTCCCGGTCAGTCCCCGTCACGCTGCCCCCCGATCACTCAGCGGTCCGCCTGCCTACACCCTTGTCACCCACAGCTCAGTCACCGTCTTCATGATTGTGTTTGTCCCCAAAGTGTTTATGCCGGTTTTATGTGTTGTTGGATCTATGTAATTTAATTTAATGTTATATTAACTGATGAAATCTGTGTATAGATTACTTGTTTTTATGAGAACTAGTTTAATAAAGATGAGTTTCTAAAAGTATTGAATCAGACATAAGTGAGACTATCGGAGAAAGTGAAGGGGCAGTGCTCAGTCGAGGAGGGTTCTGGGCCAGGCTGCTCTGCAGGAGTCTGAGTTCTCTCATTTCTTTGGAGAAATCGAAGCAACATCTTCCCGTTTCAGCTGAGCGAGCGTAATGACGGAGCCCGTGCGGGCCCACACTCCAGGCTGAGGCCTGGCCGCGGTGCACTGCGCACGCTCTGTGCGGGAGACAGAGACCCCTCCTTTTCTGTTGTCTGCTTGGCAGAGCCAGCTTCCTGGTCAGTGGCCTGACCCCACCAGTAAGAGGCTTGGTCTCTGATCCCCATCCTGTTGCAGGCCTCTTAAAAAGAACACAGTAGCCCGGCAGTGTGGCTCAGTGGTTGAGTGTCCACCCTGCACCAAGAAGTCGCTGGTTTGATTCCAGGTCAGGGCACATGCCCAGGTTGTGGGCCCGATCCCCAGTGGGTGCATGCAGGAGGCGGCCACGCAGTAATAAGCGTCCGTCGTAGGCCCTAACAGTGTGTTTAATTCATGTGCTTCCCTTCCTGTGGGTCTGTGTAAAACACTCATCTGCAGCTCATAGTAAAACCCAGTTCTGTTCCATTTCCCTCGCAGAACATCCAGAAGATCCTCGGCCTGGCCCCTTCGCGAGCTGCCACCAAGCAGGCCGGCGGGTTCCTGGGCCCTCCACCGCCTGCGGGGAAGTTCTCTTGAAGTCGAGAAGAACCCTGTGATTCCTGTCGTTTCTTAAGGTCTTCTAGTTAAATGAGCAACTATTTCATACCCAGAACCACAGGCAGCCTTGGCGCTCAGGCCACTTTCCAGCTTTCTCTCTCGACTGATGGACGTGCTTCAATGAGGACGGGGCCCCGCAGCCAGACTCGGCAGTGCCTCCGTCGCAGGAGTGTTGTAAATAGGTGTCGGTCCGATGAGCGAAGGTGACGTTTGTGTGATGAGAAACCGTCTTTCTTGTTTTGTTTACATGAACATTTTTGTGGGACCGACTCGAGACTGCTGTGCGCCATGGAAGGTGGCTCTCCGGGAGCATGTTGCAGTCTGAAAGCAGTTAGTTTTCCTGTAGTTAGTGACTTAATCGTGTGTGTGTTTTAAAGCCAAATGTATGACCTGTGATCAATAAAGAGGCCAGAATGATAGCATCTCGTCTACAGGGAGAGACTTGTCTTGTTTCGCACGTTTCTAGCTGCACGTCTGGTGGTCTGACGTAGAGGTGAGCAGCGGCTGGGGAGGGCTGGAGTCCCGGTGTCCAGTGCCCATGTATTGTGTGCCTCCTGCTCCAAGTGCGCAGTGGTCCTGCTGCAGGAAGTGCACAGCCTGCGAGGTAAGGGAGTAGTAACTCCCGGGCACAGCCGTGCAGGGCCTCGGTGGTCCCCACACCCCAGGACAGTCTGTTGGATTCCTGCGAAGGTGCCCCTGGAAAGAAGTGGCACAGAAGAATGAAGTCCTCACCCCACAGCGATGCCAACCCAAGGAGGTGGTGAGGCCCCCTGCAGCCTCACAGTGTTTTTAATTACTTGCCCTGAAAAAACGTCAAGATGAGTCAGTTGGACAACACCGGACTAGACCATGGCTGAATGACTGGCGCTGACATTCCAGCCACAGAAGCCTGAGTTCTGTCAGAACATGGGATTAGCTACTTTGCCTGTGTCGGGATAGCATGTTCCCTTTCTAGTTAAAAAAAAACAAAGCAAGTGTTGTCAGTACTTGCATAGGCTGCTCAGGGCACTCATAATGTGCTGAAGTAGTGACTGTCTTAACAACGCAGGTGAATCTAATTCCTAACAGGTAGCATCCACGCCAGCCGGAAGTTGGGAAGTGCTGTAGGTAGGTGCTGGTGCCCTTGGCCAGGTTGTGGCCCGCCATCCTCTTCAGGGGCTCAGGGACTTAGAAGGAGCCTCCGCAATCCCCACACACTGCAAGGCTACAGCCAAGGCAAAACCAGTTGCCACGCTCTAGGACGGAGTAGGGTTTGCAATACACTGACCCCTTGAGTGTATTTCAGTACCGCCCTTCAACACCAGTAAAAGTACCCCACACTTTTCTCCTTTTTTGGATGAAGTTTGCTTAAGTTAGTCTTTTGTTTTAATTTATTGTTTCCTTTGGGTTTTTTAAGCTTTTAGAATGGAAAACATCACAAAAGTTTTTAAAAGTATGGTATAAAGAACACCCAGATACCTGATATTCAGCTTCAACAACGATGAACTCATGCTCAGTCTTACGTCCACCCCTGCCTGGATCCCTGATGTTATCCTGAAGCAAACACTATGCATCCTATCTTGTATCCTTAACTGTTTGGGGGCGTTTGCATTTTGTTACCAGGAGCAGCTTCCCTTGTGAGTCGATGCCACCCAGTGGATAAGCACATGTTTACACTCATTTGTGTGATTTTATTTTCAACTCTTAGACCATGCTCTTTAATTTTCTTTATAATTATACAAATGACGGATACTGTTTTCATGGGTTTCCCCGCAGTGGCCTTAGGCAGCCCCTCCTTCACGGCAACACCTTTCTGAAACAAGTCCACCTGCATGCTCCCCTCCTGGAAGCTGGCGGTGCCTCAAGGAAACGTCCGCTCGCCCGCCCGCCCGCCCCGCGGCGTCCTCACCTCTTTGGACTCAACGACCTTGGCTTTGTCTGCTTGGGACGGTCTTCCTCTTATTTGCCCGATTTTCTCCTGTTACCTTCTCGACTCTGCCCAAGCACCCCGCGTGCAGGGTCGTCCCATCCTACAGCTAAGCGAGGGCCTCGCCTGGACGGGGGAGCCCAGTGACCACCCAGGGAAGACCCAGACCCGACCCGGGAAGGCCCTCGCCTCGCTTGGGGAGCCCTTAAATCTGGTCCCGCCTCGTGCCGCCGGAGCCCCGCCCACCCGGGCCCGTCCCACCAGAGGCCCCGCCCACCCAGGCGCGTCCCACCGGAGGCCCCGCCCACCCGGGCCCGTCCCACCAGAGGCCCCGCCCACCCGGGCCCGTCCCACCAGAGGCCCCGCCCACACACGGGCCCGTCCCACCAGAGGCCCCGCCCACCCGGGCCCGACCCACCAGAGGCCCCGCCCACCCAGGCGCGTCCCACCGGAGGCCCCGCCCCACCTGGGCCCACCCCGGGCCCGTCCCACGCGAGGCCCCACTCGCCGCGTCCCCGTCCCTGTCCGCCCGCCGCTCCGCCCGCACCCGCACCCGCACCCGCACCCGCACCCGCGCCCCCGCCGCCCCCGCCGCCCCCGCCGCATGCTGCCCCGGGCCGGCCTGGCCGCGCTGTGCCCGCTGCTCCGCGCTCTGCGCTCCGCTCCCGGCGCCGCCATGAGCACTGGCACCTTCGTCGTTTCGCAGCCGCTCAACTTCCGCGGCGGGGCCCGCGTGCAGCCGGCGGACGCCTCGGGCACCGAGAAGGCGTTCGAGCCGGCCACGGGTAACGGGGCGCGGGGCCTGGGGGCGGGGCCTGCGGGTGGGGGGCCTGCGGGCGGGGGCGGCGGGCGGCCTCCCGGGGCCTGGCTTCCAGAGCTGGGACCGGGCCGCAGCGGTGGGAGGGTCGCTAGTGGCCCCAGGCCCGCTGCCCTCCGCGGAGCTCGGGATTCTGGGCATAACTCAGCGTTGCGAAGGGGGAGCCCAGCCCTGCGCCCGAGCGGGCGGGAGGGCTCTGGTTCTGCTGGGTTTTGCGGATTATTTGGGGGAGAAGAAGGGAAACGCCGGTGCACAGCCGAAAGGCCCGCGGGCACTGGACGCTGCCCCGCCACAGAGCCGGGAGAGCCCGGCTCACCCCCCACCCCGACTGCCCCCCGGGAGTGGAGGCCGCTCTGCTCTTTAACCACCTGCAGCTGCGGGAGGGCTGTCGCCCCTGCGGTTCTAACCGGCTGCGGGGGTTTGTAACAGAAACCGCAGGTTTGTCCTGCAGCCTGTGGGGGCCCAGGAGTCCTGACCCAAGTACTTCGACTTCTGTCCCAGAGCCAGGCACAGCCCGGGCTAGAGGCCCAGGAAAAGAGACCCTGTTGTGCTCCAGAGTAGGGGTAGCAAATACGATTAGAGGAAGAAAAGGAGGGACTGGATTTTAAAAATATACGGCCCTGGGCGGTTTGGCTCAGCGGTGGGAGCGTCGGCCTGCGGTCCCGAGAGACCCGGGTTCGGTTCCCGCTGAGGGCAGGTACCTCGGTTGCAGCCCTGGTTGGTGGTGCGGGTGGCAGCCACTCGATGTGTCTGTCAGGTTGATGTTTCTCTCTCTCTCTCCCTCCTGCTCTAACTGATGATAAAAGCAAAAAGCAAAAAAAAAAAAAAAAAGTCCTCCAGTGAAGATACAAAATAAAATAAAAATATACATATTTGAGAAAAAACAAAACAATAAAAACAAAATACACTTTCTTGCATTTAGGGCTATCTTTTCCTGACATGGCTGTGTATTAACTATATTCATCAGTTATTAGCACTATGAGATCATTCATATGGAACACAGATGGGGCATTTAAAATCAGACTTCATTACCCAAGAGACTCAGTGCTTTTATGTTGCTTTTGCAGGGTCCCTCAGCTTCTCAGCCTTTGTTAAGGAGCATTGCAAAGTAACTGCTAGGAAGTTAATGTCAGTAAAACTCACTTGGAAATTAGAGGCAACCAGGGGTTCTTAACCGTAAGTTCAGGGCGTGTTCAGGGCAAAGGGCAGGATCTGGCTAATCATGTGATACTATCTTTCTCTGCAGAGAAGTCTGCAACTTTCATTAGATTCTTAAAGGGGTCAGTGACCCCAAAACAATTAAGAACTGCTGGTATCGGGTCCTGGCTGGTTTGGCTCAGCAGTTAGAACGTCGGCCTGTGGTCCGGAGAGACCTGGGTTCGGTTGTCACTAAGGGCATGTACCTCGGTTGCAGTTTGTCCCCGGCCCTGTTTGGGTTGTGCGGGTGGCAGCCACTCGATGTGTCCCTTTCACATCGATGTTTCTCTCTCTCTCTCTTCTCTCTGCCTCCCACTCTATCTGAATAAACAATGTCTTTGCGTGAGGATAAAAAAAAAAAAAAGGGGACTGGTATGGGGCGGGTCACTAAGTCAAACCATGCTTAAAGACGAGGAGGGGATGGCCAGGAAGAACTTTGAATACATGATACTTTGTTGACGTGTGCAGCAGTGTGAGCTGACGTTGACCGTGGTGTTTCCAGGCCGAGTCATAGCTACGTTCCCCTGCTCTGGGGAGAAGGAGGTGGACCTGGCTGTCCAAGACGCGAAGGCTGCCTTCAAAATATGGAGCAAGAAGTCCGGCCTGGAGCGTGCTCAGATCCTGCTGGAGGCCGCCAGGATCATAAGGGTGTGTGTCCATTCATTCTGTCCCGAAAAGTTGTCCGTCGTTGCCGAGCGTTCTTGGGAATGGTGTGCAGTTCAGCTCTGATGCACTGTTGGGTTATACCTTGTCTATGAAGTGGGAACGCATTTCCATCTGCTGTTTCTCTGTCTCGTCTGAGTGTTGACCCTGTGGCGGTGCACCGTCGCCGCTTCGCCCACAGGCGCGGAGGGACGAAATCGCCACCGTGGAGACCATCAACAACGGCAAGTCCATCTTCGAGGCCCGCCTGGACATTGACACCGCCTGGCAGTGCCTGGAGTACTACGCGGGCGTGGCCGGGTCCTTGGCGGGTGAGCCCTCGCCGGCCTTCTGCGGTCAGCTGCCGGGAGGCAGAGGGCAGAGTCTACCGTGAAGGGCAGAGGTTTCGGGCAAAAGACAGGCCTGGGTCTCCCTTCATTCCACTTGGTCTATGTTCTCTGCTAGCTGCCCAGGCAGCTCTAGAGGATGATGTGAGCTGGGGGCCCGGGGTGTGGAGGAAGCTCGGATTCTTCCCCGGGTGTGGCGAGGGCGTGGCGAGGGCGTGGCGAGGGCGTGTGGAGCAGAGCAGGGCCAGGGAGGGCGGAGCACAGAGGACAGGTGTCCGGGAGCCTGGGGGAGGAGCCGGCCTGCCATCTCTTCCCTCCTGTCTCCCCAAGGTGAGCACATCCAGCTGCCAGGCGGGTCCTTCGGTTACACCCGACGAGAGCCGCTGGGCGTGTGCGTGGGCATCGGAGCCTGGAACTACCCCTTTCAGATCGCCTCCTGGAAGTCGGCCCCCGCGTTAGCGTGTGGTGAGAGGAGGGTGCCCTGCAAGCCTGTGTCCTCTGCCGGCCTGTCCCCTCCCCTGCACACACTCATGCACACCCACGCTCGCACGCACATCCACACACACACACACTTTCCCATCAGCAGGGGCCGTGCTGGGCATACAGGGCCTCAGAGGACACGTGTCCGTCCCCATGGCCCGTGGCGGGTGTAGTGTCCCCGTGCACACAGATGGTGTCCGTGGCACTGCTGCTTGTCCTCGTCCTTGTCCTCGTCTCGTGTATTTCTCTGTGGGAAGGAAGGCAGTGTTGGTCCTGGAGGTCTAACTTTCTGCCGTCAGACTGGATCGGATTTGTGCTCCCTGCACGTTCTCGTCCTTTGTTTTTATCCTCACCCGAGGACATTTTTCCATTTTTTGTTCAGATAGAGTGGAGGCAGAGAGAGAGAGAGAAACATCGACGTGAAAGGGACACATCGAGTGGCTGCCACCCGCACGACCAACCAGGGCCGGGGACAGACTGCAACCGAGGTACATGCCCTTAGCGGAAACCGAACCCGGGTCTCTCTGGACCGCAGGCCGACGCTCTAACCGCTGAGCCAAACCGGCCAGGGCCGTTCTTGTCCTTTTGGACTTGAACTTCTGTGAAGGGGGGCACTCAGGAATCGGACTTGTTTAAGTAGCAGAACGTAGCTGGCTCCCCGTGTGTACGACGAGAAGTGACACCAGGGCTCTCATCCCCGAAGCTCTGGCCGCCGGACTTCTGAAGTCTCCTCACACCAGTCAGAGATGTGTCTGTGGGGAAGGAAGGCGTCCGTCTCAGAGCAGCTGTCGGGACAGAGGGACGTGGTGTCCAAGTGCAGCTGCTGGCATGTTGCCTGGCGTCCGGCACAACCCTGGGGGTAGCGGAGGAAGAGAACAATGTCCCTGGCGGTGGGGCCTCATCGGTTCATGAACCTTTGTCCAAGTTCAGTTGTTGTGAGATGGGACCGGTCCCACCTGCTTCCTTCTGTGGGTGCAGGTACCAGACGAGACGATGCCGGTGGGAGACCGGACCTGCAGGTGTGGGATGGCTGGGGACCCGGCAGGCATGGGCTTGGGGTCTGTTAATGACGGAGACCAAGGCGGAGGACGAGATGCGTTTGCTGCCTGAGGAGGATTTGGCGGGACAGGGACCGGTTGGAGGCGTTCCTGGCTCGCCCCTCGTCCTGTCCCGTCCTGAGTCCTGTGTGTGGGCTTGTGTAGGAAACGCCATGGTCTTCAAGCCGTCCCCCTTCACGCCCGTGTCCACGCCGCTGCTGGCTGAGGTCTACGTGGAGGCGGGGGCGCCTCCGGGCCTCTTCAACGTGGTGCAAGGCGGGGCCGCCACGGGCCAGTTTCTGTGTCAGCATGGCGACGTGGCCAAGGTCTCCTTCACCGGGAGTGTGCCCACCGGCACCAAGGTGAGGTCACCCCCGCCGGGGCTGGCTCAGGGGCCTCTCGCTGGGGGTGTCAGGCCCTCCCGGGGCCTGTGGTGGAGGCCTGTCCTCCGATCTTCCCTGTTCCTGTGGGAGGGAGGCCGTGGGAACTGCCCCCGTGGGTCTGGGAATGAGCGTGTGAAGCGGGAGGGGCGTGCCCTTGGGCGGTGGCGGTGTCAGCTGGTCTGCGGAGGTCAGAGTTCACCCCGCGTGCGGCCTCGTGTGCGGCCTCTGAGCGTGTCTGTGCTTGTTCCATAAGATCATGGAGATGGCGGCGCAAGGAATCAAACCCGTCACCTTGGAGCTTGGGGGCAAGTCCCCACTGATTGTCTTCGCAGACTGCGACCTGGAGAACGCTGTCAAGGGGGCGCTGATGGCCAACTTCCTCACGCAGGGCGAGGTGCGTGCGTCCCCGGCTGGAGGCGTCTCCCCTCCCAAACCGCACGGCGTAAAGAACTTTTCATGTGGAAACCATTTCCGTTACAGGAGAGTTGCACCATCGTGCAGAGATTTCACATGTGCCTGTGAGCCAGGGCCCTCAGATGTCCACATTCTTTTCTTAATCCTCACCTGAGGATATTTTTCCATCTATCCTCAGACAGAGTGGAGGGAGAGAGGGAGAGGGAGAAACACTGATGTGAGGGGGACACATCGACTGCTTGCCTCCCACACGACCCCGACCGGGGCCTGGATGAACCGCATCCTGGACCAGAGTCGAACCCACAACTCAGTGGTCCGCAGGCCGACACTGTAACCGCTGAGCCAAACAGGCCAGGACTCAAACGTCCACATTTATGACGTTTCTCTGTCGTTCTGTTTGTCTGTACACACGTACGCACGTTACAGTTTTCTCCTGAATTCTTTGGAGGTTGCAGGCATGAGGCCCCAGCCTCGCACACTTACATATTTCCCCAAACAAGCGCCTCTCCGTGCAAGCACGGTGTGCTCAGGAGGTCAACAGCACTGGTACCGGATCCTTCATGGTGGTGGTCGCCCAGTGGTGAGATTCCAACTCTGTCAGCCCGTCTACATTTTTTAGTTCACTTTCTACTGTAAGAAAGAACGTTTCCCGGTCTCCTGTTTCTCATTTGTTTATTTCTGTCAGCCTGGGCCCATGGATCCTGACATCCTTGTGTGAGTTAGAAGCCATTCCTTATTTATTTGATGCTCAAATAATTGCAGATTTGGCAGGTAGAAGCCCCTTTCTATGACCTTTTTCTGTGTCTTTATTGTCCTTTGAGCACTTGACCTCCCGGCCCAGCAAGGTGCCTGGACGTGTCTCACGCCTCTCCCGGCCGGGCTCTGGGCCAGCCTTCTCTAGGAGCCCTGGTCCCATCGGTGGCCAGGGGTATTTAGAAACCAAGGTCTGGGTGCCAGGTGGACTTGTTACTGGGTGCCAATGCCTCCAGACCCTCTTGGAGGCCAGAGCTGGGGCCAGATGCACATTTTTGCAATACACACATGCACTGCACACACATATACACACAGACACACACACAGTGCACATGCACACACTCGTCTACACACAAATGCACACACAATGCATTCATACACAGTGCACACAAATGTGCATGTGTATACACATGTGCACACATATACATGCATTCACAGTGCACACCACACATGCATTGCACACACGCGCCCACACATGCACACACATATGTCTATATGTATCTGTGTTAATAACTACAGCTCATGCTGCTATTTCCAGTCATTCCGATATTACAGGTTTATTTTCCCTTCTTCCAGGTTTGTAAATTTCTTCTCTGACACAATTTTGGCATCCGTCACCCACAGTATGTTTATTTAACTGCTCAGTCCTAGAAATACGTTTATAGTAGTTTCAGATTTGTGAAAAGTAAACCTTCTAACTAAAGTGCATATTTTTTTACAGTCCCTTTTGGCTTTAGCCTGAGGGGTGGTTAAAAGGTTTCGAAAGTTGATTGGGTCGGTTCCCCTCCAGCCCCTCCCACCACGTGGTCATGATAGTCCTGTTAGGTAACAAGTTCTGTTCTGTTGCATCTGAGGTTTATTTCCCCCCATCCTTGCTGGGACTAGGGGGCACACGGACATGGTTCAAAAAGGCGGAATTTCACAGAAAAGCCACAGAGCAACTTGGGTCCCCTCCACCGCTCCTGACCGGCTCCCACGCCGGCCCTGGAGGCTGCCAGCCCCTCTGCTCTGACCTTGTTCCCGTGTTTCTCGTCACACAGGAGCAGGTGTCTCCCCCTCCCCCTCTCTCTCATGCACACAGGCTGGCACCTCAGAGGTGCGCTCTCGCACTGGGCTTCCGCCTCTGACGCCCGGGGACACTCGTTTACGCCACGGGCTCGCGCTTCTCCGTTTTCTGCCGCAGCCACGTGCGTTCCTCCCATGCGGCTGGGCCGCACGCGGGCCGCGTCTGTGGAGAGGAGACCCTCGTGCCGCGTGGTTTCAGTGAAGACATTGGCGGGGAAGTGCTCTGGGTTATTGTTACCTAACGCCCTAAGTTCTCAGCTCTTCCTCCGCAGTCCCCCCCGTTCCCACTTCTCACCCCTAAACACGAGCAGACGGGGTAGGGCCCGAGGTCGCGTGGGTCCGTCATCAGTGGCCTTGAGGAAATAAACAAACACAGAAGATGCGGGTTTTATCCCGAAGGGGCAGGCGGTCTGTGCGGGGGTGGTGTGTCCTAGTCACGCGTGTTCCCCTGCGGGACGGGGCTCTCCAGATGGAACACGCCTGACAACAGTGTAGTGTGTTTTTTAAGCCTACACCCCTGGTCCACCGCCCCCTTTTCGTTTTTTCTTCTTTGCACCCTGATAGACGTGCCCGTGTCTTTTCCAGGTTTGCTGCAACGGCACAAGGGTGTTCGTGCAAAAGGAAATTCTCAATGAGTTCACAGAGCAAGTGGTGAAACAGACCCGAAAGATAAAAATCGGAGACCCCCTTCTGGAAGGTACCAGGATGGGTCCCCTCATCAACCGGCCACACCTGGAGCGAGTCCTTGGGTTTGTGAAACTGGCCAAGGAGCAGGTGAGGAGGGGGAGCTGGGGCACGGAGAGGGAACCCCCCACCCCCCGGCACCGGGCCTCCCTGTGGCCGTAACCCCTTGGCTCTCGGGGTCAGAGACAGTGTCCTGCTTTTGTCCTTTTGGTGGGGTGACTGAGTACACATTTGTCCAGAAACGCATGTGGGGGTCGCCTGTTTAACATAAAGTATGCATTCTGCTTTCTTTCTTGGCAGGGGGCTAAGGTGTTGTGTGGGGGAGACCTGTACGTACCCGAAGATCCCAAATTAAAGGATGGATATTTCTTGAGCCCTTGCGTATTGGGTACGTGCCCCTGATGTCGGCTTTCCAGAGGTTTGAATGGACTAATCAGATGGAAAATAATTTTTATAAAATATGTGTGTGGTGTCAAGCAAGGGTTGGCAAATGGGGTGTCCCCACCACCCAGATGTAAGAAACAGAAGTTCTTCATTACCTTCAAAGAGCCTGTGCACCCCGCCCCCAGGACAGCGGGTGTGTTCGTACACGGGGGACCTGGTCTGCCCTGCTGTTCTGCAGGCCGGGGGCTCGGAGAGATGAGAGTACACGGTCCATACAAAGTTACGCAAGGAGCCCTGGCCGGTTTGGCTCAGCGGTTAGAGCATCAGCCCGTGGACCAGAGAGACCCGGGTTCAGTTCCCACTAAGGGCACGTACCTCGGTGGCAGTTTGTCCCCGACCCTGGTTGGGGTCATGTGGGTGGCAGCCAGTCAGTGTGTCTCTCTCATGTCGATGTTTCTGTCTCTCTCTTCCTCCCTCTCTCCCTTCCGCTCTATCGGAAGATAAACGCAAAAACAAAGTTACGTAGTGACTCATTTCCCAGGAAAGGCAGTGAGGAAGGCACTATAGCTCACAGTATAGTAAAGCAGTCTGTCCGGCACTGTGGCGGTACTTCTAAAACTTACGTCACTTAAGAATTTTTAGCACCCCCTTTCAATCTGAAAACCTCCTGGCCTGGACAGTCAGGTATAAGGCCATCTGTCCTCAACCAGTCACTTCCATCCCCGCTCAGGGTGACGTGCTCCAGAGGCCGCTGTCCGCAGCGCCTTCCCCGTCATTTCATAACACGTTACATCCCGTGTGCGGTGAGTTTCACAGGCTTGAGAACCACGTGCAGGTTGGATCATGTCCTGTGGTCGCGGCACCTCATCGCGAAGGTGAGGTGGCGGAGTTTTGTCCCCAAGGCCGAGGTGGTCTTGGTTTTCACCACTGATGTTCGATGCCCTTGAACCTGCGGCCTTGGCCCAGGAAAGCCCACTGAGGTGTCAGAGCCGTGAACCTGACGCCCACACTGGGTTAGCCTGCCGTTCTTAAGTGAATAGGGACAGTGGGCAGTTGTTCTTTTGAGTAGAAAACAGAGTGATCTCAAATCTGTTAAGGACCAAATACGTGCACAGAACAGGAAGGAGCAGTGTGCCTCCTGAGTGTTAACGCGGGTTTCTCTGGGTGCTGGGGTCGCAGGTGGGTTTATTATACTGCGTGCATTTCTGCATGTTGCAGACTTTTATTTTCATTCACTGAACGTTGGAGACTAAAGTCGAGTGAGTCGCGTTTCGGGCAGAAGCCGGAGTCCCCACCCCCACAGCCCCTCTGCGTTGCCAGGCTACGTAACGTGACAAATACTTTCTGGGACTGTTGAGCAGTGCATGGTCTTGAGTGGTAACATTTTGGCTAATGGTTTCCCTGGAAATTATATGCAGATGACTCGTTTTCAGAGAGTCAGAACGTAGGAAATCATGCTTAAGCACCACCTGAGAATTACTTAATCCCTAAGTGCACATAAACTCTAATCCACATTTGAAGAGAGGCAGACCCGTCTCTGTGGATGTGGGGACAGTGGTTTGTAGACTGTGGCTGCTACAAAGCTGGCGTTGGCAGTAGGTTCTCAAGCCGTCCTTTGGCCTCCGTGCTGCTGACACTATAACATGACCTCACTAGCCGCGTGTCTGCCTTTGGCCGTGACCCCTCCATCAGGGCGGCCGGCCGCAGGGACAGGGCAGACGGCGCCGCTCCGGACTCTCCGGGCTCGGTAGAGGATGTGTGCAGATAGGAGCTTCCTTACTTATGTGTATAAAGAATCGGCCACTTCAGGGAATGTAAGTACATTTTCATTTCAAGTCAACATCCCCCCAATTATTTCTAAGATTGTGTTTTATCCTGGAACTGTCTTTTTTGTATCTGATTCTATCACTGTCATTAAGACAATGTGGAAAGGTATAAAAACATGAATCATATATGTAACACTTTTTAAATCCTTGAGGACATTCAATACCGGAGGATATTTTTTATTCTAGGGGGGGGGGGCATTGATGTGAGAGACATCGATCGGTTGCCTCCCATACCTGCCCTGACCGGGAATCGAACCCACAACCTTTTGGTGCACAGGACGATGCTCCAACTAATGGAGCCACCCAGCCAGGGCCGTACATGTAACATGTTAACGGAAGTTGAGACCGGACCCCGAGCAGTTCGTGTCTTCAGTGAGTGCTCTGCCATGGAGCGTCCCTTTGAGAAGCTCCGGAGAATTCGGCCGCCAGGGTGTGTGGTTCAGGCGGGCGTTTCCTGCGGACGTTCGGTTTGTCGTGAGTGACGCGAGGGCTGTCTCTGCACACACCTGGCTTTAGAGTCAGGCCGCCACGCGGGGTGTGGCGCGTGTGCTCGCTGTGTGCTCGCTGTGTGCACAGTGGAGGTCCCCACAGGCGGGGCGGGGCGCGTGTGCTCGCTGTGTGCCCAGCGGAGGTCCCCACAGGCGGGGCGCGGCGCGTGTGCTCGCTGTGTGCTCGCTGTGTGCACAGTGGAGGTCCCCACAGGCAGAGTGCAGCCGTGTGCTCACTGTGTGCCCAGTGGAGGTCCCCGCAGGCAGAGCGCAGCCGTGTGCTCACTGTGTGCGCAGCGGAGGTCCCCACAGGCAGAGCGTAGCTGTGTGCTCACTGTGTGCCCAGCGGAGGTCCCCACAGGCGGGGCGTGGCCATGTGCTCGCTGTGTGTGCAGCGGAGGTCCCCACAGGCAGAGCGCAGCCGTGTGCTCGCTGTGTGCGCCTCGGAGGTCCCCGCAGGCAGAGCGCGACCATGTGCTTGCTGTGTGCGCAGCGGAGGTCCCCACAGGCAGAGCGCGGCCGTGTGCTCACTGTGTGCCCAGCGGAGGTCCCCGCAGGTGGGGCGCGGTGTGTGCTCACTGTGTGCCCAGTGGAGGTCCCCGCAGGTGGGGCGCGGCGTGTGCTCACTGTGTGCTCGCTGTGTGCCCAGCGGAGGTCCCCGCAGGTGGGGCGCGGCGTGTGCTCACTGTGTGCTCGCTGTGTGCCCAGCGGAGGTCCCCGCAGGCAGAGCACGGCCAGGGCTGTGAGCTGGAGGCTCGGGAGTAACCCCTCCGCACGTCTGTTGTCCCTGCCCGCAGCCAGCTGCACGGACGATATGACCTGCGTGAAGGAGGAGATCTTCGGGCCTGTCCTGTCCATCCTTTCATTTGACACCGAAGCGGAGGTTGTGGAACGAGCCAACAACACCTCTTTTGGACTAGCGGCCGGTGTCTTCACCAGGTGCGTGGGGAGCCCCCGTCTCAGCGGGGCTGCTGCCTGCTCGGGGGGCTGCCCTGTTCCCTGGGGGGTCTGCCCTCATTGTCTTCATTGGCACTTCCTGCCATGTCACAGGTGCCCAAGTAGCATTTTGCCCTTTGCCCTCAATGGCCAGAGCCCTGCTACTGAGTTTAAATTGAGCTACAGCCCTGGCCGGTTTGGCTCAGCGGTTGGAGCCCTCGGCCTGCGGTCCAGAGAGATCCGGGTTCGGTTCCCGCTAAGGGCATGTACCTCGGTTGCAGTTTGTCCCCGGCCCTGGTTGGTCATGTGGGTGGCAGCCACTCGATGTGTCTCTTTCATGTCGATGTTTCTCTCTCTCTCTCCCTCCCTCCCACTCTACCTGAACAAAATATGGAAAAATGTCCTCGGGTAAGGATAAAAAAAAAAATTGAGCTATAAACTGGGTAGCTGAAAATGCTATCGTTTTTCATGGGTTCATGGAATAAATATCTGAGGCGCCAACATGAGTGGACATGTCCGGGAATGTGGAAACCCGTCAGCTCATGAATGCTGGGCCGGTTCTTCCACAGCGTGGGTTTCGGAGGTTGTCCGCCACCCTGATGGGAAGGCGGCAGTGGGGCTTTTGTTCTGTTATCGCACCTTTAGGGTGTTTCCGATTTTAACCCCGTGAGTAGTGTGATCGGTCGGTGTCTTTCTGTGTGAACCCCGCCCACTGTGGCGGACGCCGCGAGCCCTCTGGGGGCGCAGGGTCACCCAGCGGCAGGTGCTCGGTGTGTGCCGACTCCAGCTGGGGGCAGTGGGGGGCGGTTCTCTGCGCCTGCGTCACTCTCGGGACTTGCTGTCGCTGTGGTGATGACCGAGGTTACGCATCTCTGTGGCCTTGTGATCCGGCGCCTGGGAAGGAGACCCAGGCCTCCCTGAGGGACCTACGGTCATAGCTTCTCTCTGAGCCCGAGAAGGTCCGGGAGCTGCTGCTTTAAATGAAAACCACTTGATTTCTCAGTCATTTTAGTTTCACCACAAAATAGATGGACAGAGCTTGCCCATCCCCCTGGCCTCCAAGCACAACCTCCTTCGTCGTCAATGCCCCCCCCCCCCAGTCCATTGCTGTGATCGATGAACCTGTGTGACCACACCGTCACCCCAAGCCCGCAGTTTACACTGGGGTGCACTCCTGGTGCCGTACCTCTGTGGGTTTGGACAGGTGTGTTGTGACGGGGACCCCCATCGGGTTGCACCGAGCAGGGTCCCTCCCTGACAGCTCTGTGGGGCTCTGTGTCCTGGGGACCCAGTGGGCTAAGGCTCACCTCGGGCTTTGCCGGCAGGACACAGGCAGGGCCGGGCACAAAGGGGGGCAGCTCACGCTCGACCTCACAGCTTCACTGGACGGTTCGCCAGCGTGAAGAGCACAGCGAGTGGCGTTAGTGTGTCCAGAGCTGGGCCGCCGGCACCAGAACCTAGTGGCAGAGCCTCCCCGTCAGCTCAGGGAGTCAGGGCCCGCTTGCCCCCAGCCCTGCAGCACCCGTCCACTCCGCTTCTGTGGACGTCTCGCTCTGAGTGTTCGTGTAAATGCAACTGGACACTGTGACGGTGCGTCTGGCTTTCCCTGGGCACCACGTGTTCAGGGCTCACATGCTGTAGCGGGTGTCAGGACGCCGTCCCTCGTGGACAATGCTCCATTGCACGTTTACGCTGGTCACACGGGACGTTGGGGTGCCGTTCTCTGTGGCTGTGAGGAAGAACGGCGAGCATCTGCACACGCGTGTCTGTGAGGCTGTGCGTTCGAGCTGACCGTCTGACCTCCTAAGGAGCAGAGACGGTAACCAGCGCCGTGTCTCCTCCAGGGACCTCCAGCGCGCCCACCGCGTGGCGGCCGAGCTGCAGGCCGGAGTGTGCTACGTCAACAACTACAACGTCAGCCCGGTGGAGCTGCCCTTCGGCGGCTATAAGAAGTCAGGTGAGTCCGGCCGGCGTGGCACCGCGGTTAGAGCATCGGCCGTGGACAAGTCGTGGGTTCGATTCCCAGTCGAGGGCACATACCTGGAGGATCTGCAGAGGGCCTGGCCGCGGCCTTTGTCACCTTTGAATGTGCCCCTGGGGACGTGGTTGTTGGGGACTGGGACTTGCCCCGGGAGGCAGAGCCTGTGTGAGGGTGGGGCAGGGTGACCAGGACGGCCAAGCAGGGGGTGCTGTCCCTTCAGTACCTTGTCCACAGCCGTCGGGCAGCATCTGGGCCCTGACGGCTGGGCTCTCTCTCCCGTGCCCCTTCCACAGCTGATGCCTGGTGGAGGGTGTGATCTAAACTCCACTTCCGTGAAGGTCACTGACCTTTCAGACGATTGCAGCGATGGCTTATTGTCCCCTTGTCCCTTGCAGGGTTTGGCAGGGAGAACGGCCGTGTGACCATTGAGTATTATTCACAACTGAAGACGGTGTATGTGGAGATGGGTGACGTGGACTCCGCTTTTGAAAGCGGACCATGAATCCCCCAGACGCGCCGGGCTGAGCCCCTGAGACCGGCAGAGGCCGCACACGGCGACCCGCTGCCTCCTGGGTCTGGTCCTGCAGGGCTTGCGCCCGGCTCAGCGCCGCCCCGTCGCCGGGTCGTCTCCCCTGAGCTGCACACGTGCCTTCAGGTTCTCCCCGAGGAAGCTGTGAGGTTCTGCAGAGCCGGTCTCCGTGCGGCCGGAACAGCCAGTGGCCCTGCTCTGGACACGGGGACGGGATGATGTGTCACCACGATCTCAACCCGCCCGCGCTCTCCCGCGTTCCCTCGCTCTCTCTCTCTCTCTCACGCTCACTTCGAAGGACTTAGACTTGTTCCCTTGACGTTCCTGGTGGACTCAGGTGATTTCGGCTCATGTCTTAAGCTCCGGCCCCTTGTCATTCCCACCGCCAGGCTGACAGTGGGACCGGGTGGGGACTCGATCCTCGGCTGGGGGTCCGTCTGTGTGAAGGGTAATCGGGAAAGCGTTCTGTCTCCACCCGGCGCTGCGGGGAGGACACGGCCTCCGTCCTTGAACTCCACGTGCCCACCGTCCGCCTCTGCAGCACCAGAACCAATAAATCACAGCTCATGTTTGCAACGAAACACCTGTCAGGGTTATTCAGGACCCAGGGTGGGGCCGGCGTGCACGCGAGGCGGAGGGCTGGCCCTTCTCTGCAGCAGGGCGCTGGGCGGGCCTGCGTTCCTGTGCGGAGCTGTCAGCCCGCAGACTCGGGGCCTGGGGGCCTCTCCACCCTGAGGAGCGGTGCTAGCTCGGAAGAGCTGCCGTGACCTCTGACTGCGGGGATTGGTTACTGTGGAATAGCTGGTTTTCCGGGGAAACAAAGCCAGGGGAGCAGTACGTCTGTTGATTTGCAGGAGATTTAGTGTAGGAATGAGCTCGTGATCAGGAGGCAGGGGAGCTGGTGGTGTGGATCATCGAGAGCCAGGGCCCAGAGCCAGGGGCCGGCGGGGTAGGTCAGGCTGGAGCCTGAGAACTGGGCCAGCGTATGACCTAGGGCTGGAGGCGGGTGGCCCTGGGAACCCAGGAGGACCGCCCTGCCACTGACTGCCGACGCTGTTTCTCCAGCAGGTGGCGCCCGTGTCCTTCCCACACCTGGTACAGGACCATGCAGGACTTATCAGAGCCTCCAGACTTCAGGGGCGAGTGTAGCCCCCCAGTCACCGCCGGGCAAGCACACAGCCCCCTCAGGGGTGCCAGCGTCCACATAACGTCTCTACAGCGCGGCATGTGTCTTTCCATAGAAATAACTGCCTCTCGCACATGGGCCAGACCCGCAGGGCGGTGGAGGGACTGAGGCCAGTTTTCTCTCCCCCAGACAAGGGAACTGAACGGAAACTAGCTGGCCAGACAGGGTCACTCTGCAGCAGCGACCCAGACTAGACTGCGTCCGGCCCGAGGGTCCCGGGACATGCGACTGTGGGGGAACTGGAGAGCTGACCAGAGCTCCTGGGTCCCCACTTTGGTCACAGCACCCTCTGACAGACTGGGGTTCCTTGCACAACGTCACCTGGCCCATGCTGTGACAGAGCGCCAGAGATGACAGTTACTTTGAAAGCACGCCCATCTGTCCCCAGGGGCTCTGCCGGCCTCGCTGCCACCTGCAGCCTCGGACACGCAGGAGCCTCCAGGGTTCCCGTCTCTCCAGGCGCGATTCTAGCAAATCCAAACAGACAAAACCAACCACCCTAGCTAACGGCAGAGTCTCCACTACATCACCTGTTTCAGTCAGGACCCAAATCCCTGCCTTCGCCTTCACCACCGTGTCCTAAGGGTCAGTGTGAGAGGGTTTCTCACAGACTGACCCTGCAGAGTGCGGATCTAACCCAACCTCACCAGATGCCCCAGGGCTCCAGGTGGTCCTGTGGCCGGGGGCCGACTGTCCTCGGTGGCCACCCAGAGCATCCTGCCCCTGAGTGCCTCACCTCCTCAAGGTGACAGAGGGCAGGACGGAGTGCGTGGAGTTCACACTCGGGCCTGGGGCCAACCCTCCCAGCTGCCGAGCACCTGCCATTTGTTCTATTACATTTCATCAGCTCAAGTGTACGTACCACAGGGGCCGGTGGCTGCCGTGCCGGACCACAGGGGTCTAGACCTCGATTCCTGCTGAGGTTCTTGGTGGCCACAGTCGTGTCCGGAGCACCCTTCCTGGAGTCCACCAAGGCTTCAGGTGTCCACGTTTCGTTGTTACGTGTCCCCTTCCCTGTTTGCACCTGTGTGATCTGGTCTTTGCGTGACGTGGGCCCTCACCCTCCCTGTCAAGTTTCACCTTAAATTTGTGACTTCCATTTTTAAGCAATAGAAGAAATTTTTTTTTAAACCTCACGTGAGAATATTTTTACGTTTATTTTCAGATAGAGCAGGAGGGAGAGAAACATCAATATGAGAAAGACACGTCAATTGGTTGCCCAACCCCAACCAGAGCCGGCAACGAACCCCATCTGAGGTACGTGCCCTTGGCCAAAACTGAACCCGGGACTCCTTGGTCCGTGGGCTGATGCTCTGACCACTGAGCCAAACCAGCCAGGGCTAGAAGCAATCTTCAATAGAGATGTTTATTTTAGTTTAGTTTTAAAAAATGGCTTTCTCTATTTTATTTAAAAGTATGTTTTCTTTATTGATTTTATAGTGAGAGGAAGGGAGAGGGGGAGAGAGAGAAACATCGATGAGAGAGAACATCGACTGGCCGCCCCCTTCATGCCCCCCACTGGGGATCGGGCCCACAACCTGGGCATGTGCCCTGACCGGGAATCGAACTGGCGACCTCTTGGTGCAGGGTCGATGCTCACCCACTGAGCCACACCCGCCAGGCTCAGTTTATTCTATTTTCATCCTCACCCGAGGACGTGCTTGGAGAGAAAGGCTGACTGGCCGCCCCCCCCCCGGGGATCGGGCCACAACCCGGGCACGGGCCCCGACTGGGGACCACACTGCAGCCTTTTGGCACCCAGGACGATGCTCCCCCAGCCGAGCCGCCCCAGTTGGGCTCCCACAGAGGTTTTAAGAAATCGTCCTTGTCACCCTGTGTGGTGGTCGTTTCAGACCCTAGCTGGGACCGAGACTCTGCTTCCCAGACGCCCAGTTTCGAGAGCTGTGAAAACTGGTGCTCGTGCACCTGTCGCCACAGTGAGGCGCTCTCCAACCTCCCAAAGCAAGTCTGCCCGGCTTGGGGGGGTGGCGCCCCGTCCCGTGGCCTCCCGGCGCATAGGAGCAGGCCAGCCTGTTAGGTGGGAGACTCCACAGAAAGTACGTCACATGGTGAGGGTTACGTATGAGGCGGATGCCAGATAAATTTTATTATATTTAGAAAAAAAAAAGTAACTGGAAATAAAAGTGAGCGACTCAAGATGAACGACAGTTTTTAAAGCCCCGTCGCCCCTCAGTGGCAGCACTTGGCCCCGCCGCCCAGGCCGGGTCTAATCCAGCCGAGATGCTGGAAGGCAGAGCACACGGTCGTGCCCATCAAGCCCAGGAGAGCGATGGAGCCCAGGGCTCCCCGGCTGCGCTTGCTGGGTTCTGGAAGAGAAGGGGGAGAGGCGTCACCAGGGCGGCTCCCGGAGGACGGCGCCGGCCGCGTCCCTGAGCTCGTCAAGGCGTCGGGTGTGCGTCAGACCGTCTGGTCCGAAGACGTCAACCCACTTGAAGCAACATCATTGTCGCAGTTGGATTGCTTGGACCTCAGAAACTTACAGGCTAATAACTGGAGCCCCTGTGCCCCGGGACTTGGCAGCAGATGTAAGTATAGCAAAAAGTGCCCTTTCTCCTGTCAGCCCACTGGTGACAGCCGTGGTGGGGGCAGGGCCACGGGTCACACTGCCGGGCTCACAGTCCCCACCTAGTAGCTCTGTGGGCGAGAGCCTTCCTCTTTCTAAGCCTCAGTTTCTCCACCTACAGAACAGGACAGGATCATCTGCATCGTTAAATTGGTGGAAGGCTTGAAACAGCAACGCGAAACGTTCTTAGAACAGCAGCGGACACACAGAAAATGCTCCATAAAGGTACGTTTTGTTACTATTCAAAGGTTAGTAAAAACGAAGAGGATAACAGACCTTCTCCCTAAACATGGTTACACCCCCTTGCCTTCGAGCCCTGCTAAGAGGGAAAACGTGGCAGCGTAAGGCTTGCACTGGGTTCCCCTGGCAGGTGTCGGCGCCCTTACCTCCCGTGTAGTAGCCATAGGCATAGAGAACGCGTCCAATGATCCAGGCCAAGCCCAAGCCCGAAGCTACTCGCTGAAAAACATGGGGCCACGTTAGTGTTTGCATTCGCGGAACAGGCCGTCGGCACTCACATCTAGGGTTGACGGCACAATGTTCAGCACAATGTTCGTCATTCCAGGCCTGGGGCTGGGAGTCCCTAGCTCTTCTGGGTCACGCGCTGGTGCCCAGCTCTTGGGCAGCGGGTGCAGACCGAAGGCTACGAGGGCGGAGCACCGAAGTGGACCTGCTGCGCTCCGGTCAGAACCCAGTTAAGGGGACACTTTCTGTCCAAGGCAGGGCCAAGTGATCAGTGTCGGGAAACTGGCTGTATTTACACAGGCTACAGCACAGACCAGCCCCATGGCCCACGGGGCAACAGTGCCTGAGGCCCACCCACCTCCGAACGGACCACGTCATACACTCAGGTGACTACGAGTCAGGTGCCTGAAACCAGGAGTCTGCCTGGTTGCTTCACCTCGGCAACCTCAGGGGACCAGTGAGTGTCTGTTGCACAAATGAATGAATATCCAAAGGAAAAAAATGCTTATGGACATGAGCCTTCTAGCGTCAGATCCGGGTTCAAATTCTGACTCTTCGACCCTCCAGCTCTTTGACCTTGAGAAAGTTACACAGTGTCCACGATGTTCCCCTAACCTGTAAAAAGGGAACGTCTACCCACTTTCAAGGACTCAAGTAACTACTTGACATTCTTTTCTATACACCGGTGCCTAAATGAAATACATCGTATCCCTGGTGAAGGGCGGGATAACTCACCGGGTGGTACACACCTCCCACAGCCAGGAAGAACAAGAAGGGAGGGTACACTTCCAACCTGCAAGAGACAGGAGGACACTTTGTGAAGAAGTGCCCTGTGCAAGTATGTTTACATAAAACTGAACGCTCTTACGCCAGCGGACCGCGGGGGAAGACCTGCCCCTGACCCGGACTTCCCTGCCGAGCTTGGAGCCCCCGGGCTGGGAGGCTCAAGGTCACTCAGAGGGGACACGCTACCCGTGCTGTGGAGGGCGGGATAGCACGAGAGGCAGCCTTGGAAAGAGGGCCCAAATCCCACCATCGAATGTGCTTCTTCTTACTGACCATTCAATCTGCCCATTTCTAGGTTTTTTAAATGATACTTATATATATTTGTGTGTGTGTATGGAAGCTTATCATATATGTATATACATACACACACACACACACACATGATATATGTGTTTTTATTGATTTTTTTTTTGAAGAGAAGGAGGATGGGAGAGACAGAAAAATCCATGTGTGAGAGAAACATCGACGGGCTGCCTCCTGTGCGCCCCCTACTGGAGGTCGAGCCTGCAACCCAGGCAGGTGCCCTGACCGGGAATCGAAAGGGGACCTCTCAGTCCCTGGGACAACGCTCAGTTCACTGAGCCACGCCAGCCGGGCTCGAATGATACTGTAAACGAGAGCCCAGCATCGCCACCCCCACTGTTACAGACAGGGCACTCGCGCGCGGGGTGCTGGCTCAGGTACCCCCTCCACAGGGTCTGGGTGCGCAGGGCCCACACTCACGTGTTCTGGTGGGCTCGCTGGATGCAGTTGAAGAGGTGCCCGTTTTCAGGGTCCATGCTGTACATGGTGGGGTACTGTGGACACACAGGGCTTGCTGTCAGACGGTCAAAGCGGTTACCATGAACCTGGAAGCTGATCCACCCCCAGCCCCTTCCAGTGTGCCCTTGATCAGGGTCAGCGGAAGCGCTGCAGCCACCAGGCTGGGTGCTCAGAGGCAGGTTCAGTCTGTGAACGTCCAGGGACGAGGGCAGAGGCAGCTCATGCCGACACCCCAGGGAGGCAGCGCCTTCCCTGCCCAGCGCCAAGCCGTGTATGAGTTCCCTTACCGGGAACAGAAACTGAATGTGTAGGAGTTTTAACAGATATGTCCATTAAAAAAAACAACTCAGTATGAAAACTTCCAAACAAGCTCTGGTTAGGGAGTCTGACTAGAAGCTGCTAAACAGAAACAGACACCTGGAACCACTGGCCAGAGACAGGCAGCCCTGGTCTGTCCTCGGGCCAGGATCAGCGGAGGCACCTGGCAGGCCTCCCGTCCCAGGTCCCAGCCGGCTCTCCGAGGCAGCCCGCATCCCCGTGGAAACGGCAAACCGCCCCAGGAGGCCACACCAGGAAACAGCACCGCCCTGAACGCTCCTTAGAAAATCACACCCTTCCCGGCAGCAGCCCTGGCCAGAGGCAGGCAGTTCTCACGTCTGCGCACGTGGCCCTCCTGCTGAAGAGTCTGACTCCGGGTGGAAGCTGCTCCCAGCGGGGCCCTGCGTTCCTCGCCTCCCCCCTGCCAGGCAGGGGCAGAGCTCCTGACAGGTCCCTCCCGAAGCTGCCCCTCCACGCACTGGCCAGCCCCACCCCTCCCTCCGGGCCAGGAGACACGTTCTCGGCCGGGCACCCACGGCACCAGTGCCCACTCACCTCCACCTTGTACTTCTTGCGGGCCTTGGCGACGTTGATGGCTAGGTGAGTGACCAGGATGAAGCTGGCGGCCCCGGTCAGAACCACGAACCCATACTCCTTGGAGAGCACGGCCATCTCGGCTCTGGGGAGAGACGGCAGGTGAGGCCAGCCCCGTGGCGCGCCCGGCCGGAGCCACACACGGGCAGGTCAGGGCCGAGTCAAGGATGCTTCGAGGGGCTGCTGGAGACACTGCTGTACATCACGCAACAGACTCAGCTGTTCACAGAAAGTTCCCGCGCTTATCGCTCGTTCTATGTTGAGCCCGGGGTCTTTGCATCGACCCTACGTTTATGAGCTGTAGCCAAGGTCTGCTCCCGAGGGGCATCGCCCGCCCCCTCTCCGGGATGGGGACGCGGTGGAAAGGGCCGTCTCCATGACTCAGCACGGGCGCCACCTCCTGGTCACACCTGCCGCCGCCCAGTGTGGCCCGGAGGGCGAGGAGACAGCTGCCCGCCCACCCCATGCTCTTCCAGAACAGGCCCGTTTCAAAGTGTGGACAGTCAGCTCAGTAGTTATGAGAACACACACAGGGGCTGAATTCCAAACACCTCTTGGAACAGGAGTGACCGGGCTCTGGAATTGAACACATTCGTGCTGCCGGGACATGCAAGAGGAGGCTGGCTCAGGGCTCAAAACAACCTTTATCCTTTGCTGAAGGTTTTCCTAGCACCTTTCCTTCCTGCAGGCCAAGTGCAGGCGTGGGACGTGGGACGTGGGACGTGGGACGTGGGACGGGAGGCGCTCGGCTCCCTCCCGCGGCCACACCCGGCTCTGCCAGCCCAGGCCTGAAGATAACCCCGGGCACAGGCCCCAGCAGCTGATAAGCGGCACTGTGGGTGGCACACCACTGCTCTGTGTCACCAGCAACCCTTTCACCCACCCACCAGATAAGGTCCTTGCAGCAGGAACTCTGCCCTGGACTCTGCCTTCCACCTGGGCCGGGCCGCAGCCCACTCCAAAGCCTGCTGCAGCTCGGCGGTCACTGTGGTGCGGCCTGCTTTGTGACTCGCTGGTTACCCCTCAAGCAGCGTTTAAGGACAGACAGTAAAAGTTACAGTTTGGCCCTGGCCGGTTTGGCTCAGCGGTTAGAGCATCGGCCTGCGGTCCAGAGAGACCCGGGTTCGGTTCCTGCTAAGGGCATGTACCTCGGTTGCAGTTTGTCCCCGGCCCTGGCTGGTCGTGGGGGAGGCAGCCACTCGATTGTGTCCCTTTCACGTCGGTGTTTCTCTCTCTTCCTCTCTCTCCCTCCCACTCTATCTGAACAAAAAATGGAAAAATGTCCTCGGTTGAGAATAAAAAAATAAATTAAAAGGTACAGTTTGTATAAATAAAAGTGCATTTAGGTACATACAGGGCGGGGCCAAAGCAGGTTAATGGTTGTGTGGAAAGTGATACAGTAATAAATAACAATACAAGAACAAACAATGCCTTTGTGTACTCCCAGCTGTAACCGTTGGCCCACCCTGCCCGAGGTATCGGGTCTGCACTATTACCCCAGCCAGGGGAGGGGCAAGATAAAGCCCCCCGAGCAGCCTGGCAATAGGTTGGCAACCCTCCCGACATTCTTCGTACTTCCGGCTCATGAATTCCGCGGGAGTCTATCTGGTTCAAAGACATTCAGCACCAGTTGTAACAGCAAACCCAGACCGCAGTGTCCAAGCCAGCAGGAGCAGATCCAGGCACCCATAACACACAGTACTGGTAACGATGGAAACCGGGACCGCAGACACCACAGGTGTGAAGACAGGGTTCACGAAGGTAAAAAGTCATGGGAGATGCCCCACAGTCTTAGTTTTCTCAGTAACAGAAAAAAATTAAAGAAAATATCAAAATCCTAAGCCGTAAGAAATCTAATTACTTCTAGATGGCAGAAATAAGGTTTTCCTTTGCACTTCCTTTAAAAAAAGTTTTTTCTTTATTGGTTTTAGAGAGAGAGGAAAGGAGAGGGAGAAACATCAATGAGAGAGAAGATGGACTGGCCGCCTCCTGCACGCCCCCCACTGGGGATCGGGCCCACAGCCTGGGCATGAACCAGCGACCTCTTGGTGCAGGGTTGACGCTCAACCACTGGCCACACGGGCCGGGCCCATTGCACTTTCTGTAATTTCCAAAAGGAGCAGACATGTACCCAAACAGTTACATGAAAATGGTCCCACAGTCGGGGCCGAGCTGACGGGAACAGGCTTTGGTGGGAGCAGACGCAGGCTGGACTTCTGGCTGGAGCCGTGACGCCCACTCTGGGGTCACCAGGCAGCTCTGGAGTGAGAACACAGCTGGGGAATCAGTGTCTGGGTCAGAGCCCAGCTCTCACGCCTCCTGGCTGTGTCCTGGGGAAGACTGGTCAGCGGCTTCCAGCAGCCTGCTCCCCATTTATTAAATGGAGAGAACAATGGTGCCCACCCTGCCCTGGCTGGTTCGGCTCAGTGGTGGGAGCACTGGCCACGGACCAGAGAGTCTCGGGTTCGATTCTGGTCAAGGCACGTGCCTCGGTTGCAGTTCGGTCCTGGCCCTGGTCAGGGTCATGCGGGAGGCAGCCCGTCAGTCTCCCTCTCTCTCTCTCTCTCTCTCTCTCTCTCTCTCTCTCTCTCTCTCCCTTCCTCCCTCCGTCCCTCCCTCCCACTCTAGCTGAAGATAAATGGAAACATGTCCTTGGGTGAGGATTTGAGAAAATACTAAGAACAGCACCCACCCCACCCCTATGGTCGTGGGGGTTAAGTGGAGGCGCGTCTGTGGCCCCCGCTGTGATGCCCGGTGCATAATGAGCACCCAGAAAATGCCATCTGTCGGGTTATGTTATACACAGCGCTGTTCTGTCGATGGTCTTTGCCCCAATTCAGTCATAAAAGGGGATTCTGAATAAATGGCCCTGGCTGTACATTTAACAGTGTGGTCGTCGCTGTTATCATCCCCACTTTACAGACGAGGAAACCGAGGCAGAGGAGCTCGGGAACTTGTCTAAGGCCCCACAGCCAGAGAGAGCAGGAGCCTGCGCGTAGGCAGACTGGGCCTGCGTCCCGCTCGGCGTGGCTGCACCGGGCTGCTGGGGTCGCTCCTGCCCAGGAGTGAAGTCACCCCCTCCCCAGCTGGGACACCTCCACAGAGCTCCTCCAGGACGGGGGGACAGAGCCAGGCGAGGCGAGCAGGGCCAGGATACGTGGGGTACTTTGCACACAGGGCCACGTCCCCTGGGAAGTTTATTCCTTCCCTGCGAGTCTGGACGCCTTGTCTTTCTCTTCCTTCCTAGCTCGCCGGGCTGAACCAACCCATGCTGCCCAGACGTGGCCGGAGGGGGCGTCCTTCCTGTCCCTGTCCGAGAGGGGCGGTCAGTCTCTGTCAGAAACAGGTGTGCGCTGTGGGTATCTCCTGAGACTACGGTAAGAAACCTATTTATTTCTATGGTTTCTACAACAGCAACACCTTGATTTGTAACTTAATTAATGGAAGTACGGATTCCTGCCAAACACGACTTTCCGAGGGCACCAGGCCGGGAGGGGGTGGGACGCAGGGCAGCAGACAAGCCCGGGCCTGGGTGGGTTTGTGGGAGGCAGGAGCGCAGCGGTGCCCTGGTGCCCGGTGCCCAGCGGGCCTGGCGTCTGGGGCCGGGCGGGGCAGGAGCCCTGGGACGGCGTCTCCTGTGCAGCCAGCGAGGAGACGGGCGGGTTTTCGGGGAGCTGCCCGAGGCAGCCCTGCAGAGCCTCACTTTGGAAGCCATCAGACTTGGACTCCAGGTGAGTCTCAGCCCTGGAAGCCACGCTCCGCTCCAGGGCCAAGTGACCACAGCAGCACGCGACCCGGCTCAGGTCCGGGCCCCTGGGAACCGTCAACCACCCGCAGGAAGCGTGGCAGCCCCGCCCCCGTCCTGCTCTGGCCGCCACCTGCCTTATTGCACTGGGGCAGGGGTTTTAGCTGCACAGGCATCGCCCAGAAAACGCCGTGGCCTGTCCACCCAGAGTTCCCGCGGTCCAGCTCTCCGCCGCTGCCTCGGGTCCTCCGCTGCCCGCAGACCTTCCCGCAGCAGCCAACACCGCACCCAGCCCAGGCGGGCTCGACGGACCCGCCTCAAACGACGTACGTGTGCTTCCTGAGCCCTGCAAGTTACACCGGATCTGGTACTAACGCGAAGTCAATCAGATGTTTTAAGGGAGAGAGGATGCCGCCTGTCAGCGCCCCCCTTGCCCGCAGACAGACAGACACAAGGCAGCTGGGACAGTGGTACTTCTAGTGCAAGACTGTTCTCCAGTTGGACTGCCAACTGTCAGAGTCTTTTTAAAACAATTTTTTTTCTTTATTGATTTTAGAGAGAGAGGAAGGGAAAGGAAGAGAGAGAAACATTGATGAGAGAGAACACTGACTGGCCGCCTCCTGCACGCCCCCCAGTGGGGATCAGGCCCACAACCTGGACATGTGTCCTGACCGGGAATCGAACCAGCGACCTCTTGGTGCAGGGCTGACGCTCAGCCACTGAGCCACAGCGGCCAGACACACACAGTGCCTTTTCAGGGCACCAGGAGTGAGAACAATAAAGCACTCACAGGCTGACCGGGAGCCGCCCCCCAGGGTTTCACGAGAACCCCGATTCGGCTGCCTACGCTATTAATCCAGTCCTTCAGATACAGCTCCTGCTGCACAGCAGGGCAAGAACCCACATTTCATGAGCACCACGAGGATGGTCACGTGGAGGGCTGGTCCGGTCATCCCAGTGGACTTCCCGGGGCCCCCACACTGCGAGGCGGTGGTGCTGGGTCCACTTCACCAGCGAAAGCACCCCGGGTGGCTGCCCAGCCTGGGCTCTGCCCCCAGGCATCTGCAGAGGAACAGGGCAGCTGAGCCCCGAGCCCGTGGGGAGCTCGTGGAGACCCTGAGGAGCCGGGGGGAAAGCTGCACAGGGTGATTCCATTTCCACGACGAGAGGGGGGCCCGCGGCCTTCTGTGGGTCCACCTGACAGTCTCCAACGCCAACTTGGTCACTTCAGCGTCACACACGCGATGACTCTGTCACCAGTGTCCTTGTTTAGGTGCCAGGGGGACGAGATGTGTGTGTGGCAACACTTCCGGTGACAGCCGGACGGGAGAAGGAGACGGAGGCTTAGGAGAAGGAACAATAACCCGGGGGGGGCCACAACTGCACTGATGTCCACAGGCACTTCTCCAAGGGGCAAAGATGGTGAGCCGGGTGAATGGGCACCCGGCCCCTATTTCTCTTGATTACTGACTCATGCGGCCGACAGCAGGGGCAGGTCACATGTGGGTCTTTTCGGGCACCTCGATTCTTCAAGTCCTTGTTGGGGTTGCTGGCGGAGCATAACTCCAAGTCAGGAGGATGGAAGATCTGTCCTTTTTATTTTATTTTTTAAAACATATATATATATATTTTTTCTTTTTCTTTATTGATTTTAGAGAGAGAGGAAGGGAGAGGGAGAGAGAGATGGAAACATCGATAAGAGAAAACATCAAGTGGCCTTCTCCTGTGTGCCCCCCACTGGGGATCCGGCCCACAACCTGGGCATGTGCCCTGACCGGGAATTGAACTGGCGACCTCTCGGTGCAGAGTCGACGCTCAACCACTGAGCCACACTGGCCGGGCAGGGTCTATCCCTTCTAGAGATAACTGAGCATAATCTAAATATATTCAGCGTCACAGTGAAATAGCCACTGCTCGGCCACATAAAACACTCAGGCTTCACGTGCCGTCCCAGTTCCCGCCCTGTGGAGAACTGTGAGTTCTCCCCCCTGGGGGCGGGGCCCGAAGGACCGGCCAGACGCTCAGTCCGGTGGCTTGTTCCTGGCGGCGGGTCTGCAGGGACTGTTAACACCGACATGCAGATGCCCTGCCGCCTGCTCTCCGGAGTGTGGCTTCGTGTGAAAAGGCACTAGACACACGTGCCGACTAGAACCAAGAGTCCCCAGGAAAGCTGGTCACTCAGCTCCCCAGGGATGTCAGAATAGGAGATTTGTAGCCAGATGCACAAATCAGACCTCCTTCGCCGGAGCGAGGACACTTTCTCAACAGATTCTTGGCACAAAGCCTCCATGGGTAAGAGTTCCCTGACATGGTGACACCTCACTTAGAAGCCCTGGGTCATTCTGCACTACCTGGAGCTCAGCCTCCCGGAGACGTGATCCCAGAGACAGGAGGAGGAGATTCCCCATGATCTGAAGGCAGGGGGAGGACGGAGAGAATCCACAGGGCACAGAACAAAAGACAAATCTCAACGATTCCTTCAACGGGCTGATTTGTTCAAGTTGCTGCCGGACAAGCCATTCACCTCCATGGAGTGGCTCTCTGGCGCCCACACCTGCCACCTTCCTCAGCACTGCTGAGTGGCTCCCTCCCCGACGGGCCCCTGCTAAGCGCCGTGTTCCACGGGAGGGCAGGGCCACAGTGGTGACCCAGACTGAGAGAGGACACGGTCCAGTGGAGGCACAGAGCCATGATGACTGTACTTGTGGGAGAAAGAGAAAGGAGACGGGTTCGAGATGGTGATACACAGCAGAGGAAGAGCGATGGAAGAAATCACTTGTTATCCACACTACTTATTATCAGCACATGTTATTTACTTCATGGCAAACACTGTTCTAAGGAGTTCACCACTATTAACTCATCAAACCCCTCCGAGCATTCCTATGATACATTACTTCCATTTTGCAGAGGAGGAACAAGCATCAGAGAGGTTAAGTCATCTGCCCAGAGTCACACAGCTCCACGGAGACAGCCTGGGTTCACACCGCCAGGCAGTCTGGTTGCAGAGTGCTCTCAGCCCCTGGCTATCTTGCCTGTCAAGGAGGCTGGAGCTACCTTTGACCACACCCCACCTCTTCTGAAACTCGTCCGCCTCCTCACACCCTCTCCTGAGCAAAGGAGCAAGAACAGAAGCTAATCATTAACTCCAAATCTGTGAATCATTAAAACCCGAGATCCTTCTAAATGGAAGGAAAAAACACACAGAACCACTAGTCTGGCAAACGAGGAGAGATTACAGGAAGGAAGACCACCCTCCAATCTCTCAGGTGTCCGGCTTTGCAAGGAGCCGGGCAGCACAGAAACCGACACTTTGTTTTTAGAAAACGATTTCCCATAACCTGTGCCTTAACTGGCATTACACAGGAGGGTCACAGGGAAACAAAACTCTGATTTCCAGCCCTGGCCAGTTTGGCTCAGCGGTTAGAGCGTCGGTCTGCGGTCCGGAGAGACCCGGGTTCGGTTCCCGCTAAGGGCACGTACCTTGGTTGCGGTTTGTCCCCGGCCCTGGTTGGGTCGTGTGGGTGGCAGCCACTCGATGTGTCCCTTTCACGTCGATGTTTCTCTCTCTCTCTCTGTTCCTCTCTCTCCCTCCCACTCTACCTGAACAAAATATCAAAAAATGTCCTCGGGTGAGGACTAAAAAAACAAACAAACAAACAAAACTCTGATTTCCAGAAAAGGAAAACAAATCTCGAATGAATCACACTGACACCACTTGGGTTTTCCATCACAAGAAACTCGGGCAGACAGCAGTTAATTCCTAGCAGCTGCTGGGCCCCTGCTAGGGTACCAGCGATTCTGAACCAAGGAACCACGGCTGGCTGCTGCCTGGGACAGGGGTCTAAGTCTCCATGCCGATCTGTACCAATCACTCACATTTCCTAGGCTGGAGGAAAAAACAGTATCACTTATTTTTAAAAGCTAACTGCCCTGGCTGGTGTGGCTCAGTTGGTTGAACATCCTCTGTGCACCAAGAGGTCACTGGTTTAATTCCCATTCATGGCACGTTCCCAGGGTAGGGGCTCAATCCCCAGTAGGGGGCGTGCAGAAGGCAGCCAACTGGTGTTTCTCCCTCTCCCTTCCTCTCTAAAATCAATAAAAATATTAAAATAAATAAAAATTTAAAAAGCCGAACTCCTTAAAGGTATTTGCACATGTATGTGGAAGGTAGTACCACTGTCCTGTCTTCTCACTGCGTTTCTCCCACAAAGGTAGTCAGGTGGACACTGTCAGAGACTGTGGAAAACGCAGGAATTCCATTTTACAGCAGCCACCTGCCTGATAACTGCTCAATTCTGTTCCCAGGAGGGTGGCATGCTCATGAGGAGTAGCAATGATTCCGTTGCAAAAGCTGCAGCAGCTATATTCTTTAAAACAAATATTGCTTTGCAAATGAGAAATGGTTCTGGTCAGATGTGGTTGGCAATGGTGTTCTGAATATGGATTCAGAATATTTAAATATATAGAGAACCGTCTACTTAAATGCAGCTGGCGATGAGGAGGCACTGAATTACTTTTTGACATATTGATCGGGCGTTCATTTCATTCCAGAGGGTTCCGGGGGCTTCTCAGCATTTCTCTGGAGAAAGGGGGAAAGCCCTTCTTCCAAGTCTGCTCAGTCTATTTGCTGCCCTCCCATCGCAGATTCCTTTTCACCTGTCTCCTTGGGGGGGGGGGTTCTCAATGTGGGCAGACCGCCCTTCTCTGGTTTTGCTCCTTCAGGTGAGGAAGCCCCTGGCCTGCAGTTCCTATGGCTGCCCAGTGTCTACCAGCGTCTCTGTTTTATATATAGTAACATGGGCTCAGGGGGAGAAAAAGGTGCTTGACAGAGTTTTCTATTTCAGTAACACTGTGTCAGGAGGGAAGATAAACAGAACAACTTCCCAGGGGCGAAAAGTCTTTGTTTGGATTTAGATGTTAGTTTTATTTAACTCCGTTACATTGAACTCCTGGGAGGATACACATTCTTGATCCTCCCACTTAGATACCAGTGAACTGAATTCACTGAACTGAATTCACTGAACTGAATTCATTGAACTAAGTAAAACATAGCCTGTAACTCGGACCAATCCCCTTGGGTGCCTCCCAACACTGCAGGCTGGCCGTGACCGCCGGAGTGGGAGCTCCCACGAGAAGCCGGCTCCGGCCCCCAGGCACAGAGGGCGCTGAACCCTGCGGCAGTCCCGCGTGACCACCACTAGGTCCCCAGCACATCTGCAGAGCAGTAAGTGGCCTTCATCCAGGGCTCCCCTTCTCCAGTTTAGGGACTGAAGCCCCGGCCCCACCCTCTTTCCTACCCCCGCCCCCCCGCCCCCGGCTCTGCTTTCCCTTGACCTCCTTTCCCACACTTGTCCCCTAAGCTACAATGTAGCTCGTAACCTCGTGACTCCCGAGCAAAGTATTCGCAGAAGCCGCAACTCGGCGATGAGTCACCATGGAGTCTCCAGCCCCTTCCAGCGCCCAGTGCGGCGGCCCCGGGGCTCCCCGCAGCGACTCCAGATAAAGAGAAGTTCCCAGAAATCCCAGGCAGAACCGAAAACGAAGATCCCGCCTCGTCCCCTGCTCTAAGGCAAAGGTAGGAAATGCCCCCGCGGACAGGTTCCCCTGCAAACCGACAGACGTTTCTGCGGGGCAGGAGGAAAACCAACACGATTCCCGGGAGGCTCCCGGAGGAGCCCCGGCAACACAGCCGCCTCCGCAGCGGGCGCGCCGCTCCAGGCCGCCTCACACCCGCCGTTAGCGGGGCCTGCCCTGCCCGCCGGCCCGCAGTGCCGCTCGCCCACGCCCTGCACCAGGGCTGCAGCTGGCAAGGTCGGGCGGGCTCGGGAGACACGCCCAGGGACCGGAGGCGAGGGAAGGAAGGGGCTTGGGAAGGGATGACCTTGAGACTCTCCCTGACTTACAGGTGGACGGCCGGGGCCCGCTTGGACGCTGCCAGCCCACTCCATCCTGGGGAGGGGCAGGGCAGGCGGAGGGCAGAGGTGATGGGAAGGTAGAAGGAAGTTTGCAGACACGAAGGGGCAGAGAGGGCGAGTCTCTGTTCAGCGCAGGATGGCGGAGACGAGCGGTGCTTAGCGCGGGGGCTGAAGTGCCCGCGAAGGCCGGCGCGCCTCGCTTGCCCGCAGGTGGGTGCACTCACCTGTATCGCCTCCGAAGGGGCTGGTGCAGACGGCAACTGCGCAGCTAAGTGTAGGTGCAGTGCCCAGGCCTCGGGCGGGGCGGGGCTCGAGAAGGCCCCGCCCCGGCCGCGGGAGGCCACGCCCCCACGGCGAGGCGTCGGGCGCCGCGGCCGCTCCGAGCCAGCTCTAGGCTCCTGGTTGTGAGCGGGAGGCTGGGATTTCTTGCTCCACTGACTTACCCCGTGCACTTCCACGTTTACTGGTCGGGTCCCTTCCGCAAATGCCTGGGTAGCCGCCTTTCTAAAGTGACATCGCCCGCGCACGCCGCCCAGGTTGGGTTTGCAGAACGGTCGCACGTGGGTAATTTGTCCCCGGCACGGCCACCGTAGCCTGAGTCCCGGCGCTCAGCGGCGCGCCACGCGCAGGCTTGCAGGGCGCGTGCGCGGAAGTAGGCGCGCGGTGGGTGGGTGGCGTGGGTGCGGCGTGGGTGGGGTGTCTCAGGCGGTGCGCTCGCCGATAGAAGGGATTTTGGGGGGGTTAGGTAGTCACTGTTGCCGGGAGCCTGCGCTCGCTCCTGCCGCCGACACCCCGCCCCCCGTCGACACCTCGCCGCCTGCCGCTGACGGCCCCGCCCCCGCCGACGGCCCCGCCCCTGCCGCCGACACCCCGCCCCCTGCCGCTGACAGCCCCGCCCCCGCTGACGGCCCCGCCCCCGCCGGCGGCCCCGCCCCCTGTCGTCACCCGGCCGGGCTCGGAGATGTTGCCCGTGCGTTTGAGCGGCTCCGGGCGCTCTGCGCTCACGCTCCACTGCTTAGGTACAAGACGCCCTTCCATGTTTCCCGAGCGTGTTGGGCACCAAGGGCTTGTTTTCGTTGAGCGTGGGAAGGAGGACAGTAGGAAAGCATTCTGCCTCGTGGCAGCAGTTTTCCTTGTGCTGCTCCAGGCCGGCGGTGTGTCCGTGCGCCCCTCACCCCACCCCAATGCACAGCGTGAAACCTGATCGCCCGCGTGTTGGTCTTGGGAGGTGGGCCTTTGGGAGGTGGAGTCACGAGGGTGGAGCCCCCAGGAATGAGGTTGGCGCCCAGATAAGAGCCCTCAGAGAGCTCCCTTGGCCGAGACTGCAGCCCGAGTTGGAGGAAGCGGGCTGTCATCAGACACGACATCTGCTGGCACCTGGACCTTGGCCTTCCCAGCCTCCAGCGCTTCTAGAGCCAGGGTCTCCGTGTGAGCCACCAGCCCTTGGAGCTCGTGCTGCAGTCGGGAGGGAGGCACTCGCCACTGTTCCATGGAAGAAAAGGCAGCCCGAGGTGATGGGAGGAGGGACCGAAGAATCAGGAGCCCAATTCGGGCCTCTCCTTCCCCAGTTTTCCCTGTTTGACCACAGAAAAGGACTTAACTACTCAGGACCTTCTTTTAATTTGTTTATTATAGAAGTTTTGGAGAACACAGAGGCTTTTCTAGCCACTCCATTAAACACTGCAACTTTCTCCTTTAGGCACTTATTTTCTCCCGTCCTCGCTTTGTTTTGTACCATCTGACATATTGGATTACAGTAATTTGTTTATGATCCGCTCTCCCCCTGCCCCATGTAAGTTGCATGGAGGTGGTGATATTGTCTATTGGATGCTGCATCCCTAGGGTTTTAAAAAGCCTGGCATACGGGTGGCGCTCGATATTATTTGTTACATGAATGCATGAAAGAACAGTTCCTGTTGCCTAGCCATTTGGGACCCCCCTGGAATCCTCCAGCTAATCACTGACTCTGAGAGCCCTCAGCCTTCCAAGAAGCATCCTCTTCAGCAGGGTGGCCAGAGTCAGGGTCTGATGCACGCGGAACCACTGTACATATTCAGGAAAGGACATCATGGAAGTCGGAACCTCAGCTAGACACTGGGCATCACTCCCGTCCTCCACCCCTTGGGCCTGGGCTCAGCCCTGCAGAGGGACTCCGGAATAGCCCTTTATTCAGCCTGTGATTCTGGGGGAAATGATACAACCTCCCTGAGACTGGGCTTTTTATCTGCAGAATTAGTCTATTAACATGTAGTTGTTGCCTGTTGCACCACAGTAGGCACTTAATAAATATTGTTATTATTACTCTTGTCGATGGCCCCTCCACACAGTCCCCTTTCTAGTCCCTCTGCCCTAGTTGAGGACTGAAGTCTCCTCTGACCTGGACGATTAAAATCACGTTGTAACGGCCTTCTCTTTCAAAATTTATCACCTGAACCATCCCAGTTCCCTTTCTGAAACAGACCTTGTTTGATGACCAACTGGTGCTTTTAGGAGGAAGCCCAGACTCTCAAACATGGCATTGCACGATCTTTAACATTCTAGCCTCAGACTGCCTTCCCAGAATCCTCTCACTTAACATTAACTTAGTAATTATTATTATTTTAATCCTCACCTGAGGACATGCTTAGAGAGAGAGAGAAACTTCGGTTACCTTCCATATGTACCTGGACCAGGGATTGAACCCAAAACCCAGGTATGTGCCCTGACGGGGAATTGAACCAGCAACCTTCCGGTGTACAGGATGATGCTCCAATCAACCGAGCCACCTGGCCAGGGCGATACTGTGAATATTGACAGTCAGATTGCCCTCTGCAGGAGCCCATCAGGTTGTATTTCTGCAGCTGTCCACCGGAGCCCCATCCCCCATCTTCAAAAGGCTGGAAGGTTCACCAGCCTCATAGGTGTTTCATTTCATTTCATTTCATTTTTTTAACTTTTTTTCCTTTATTGATTTTAGAGAGAGGAAAGGAGAGGGAGAGAGATAGAAACATCGATGAGAGAGAACATCGACTGGCTGCCTCCTGCACGCCTCCACAATCTGGGCATGTGCCCTGGCCGGGAATTGAACCAGCGACCTCTTGGTGTACCGGTTGACGCTCAACCACTGAGCCACGCTGGCTGGGCAGGTGTTTCATTTTTGGTTTGATTTGCCCTTATCTAATTATAAGTTTTACGATTTAGTCATTTGTATTTAATGGCTGAAACTTCTTGTCTTTGAAAACTGCTCGTTCTTACCTTTTGCCTGTTTCCATATTAGATTGTCATTTTACCTTCTTATAGAAGCATTTTGTATATTAAGAAAGTTTTTGCTGCTCTGTATGTTGTCAATCCTTTTTTCATTTGACACTGGTCTTTGGATTTTAACTTTTTATTTTTATTTGTTTTCTTGTTAATCCTCCCCTGAGGATATTTTCCCATTGATTTGTAGAGAGAATGGAAGGTTGGGGGTCAGGGGATGTTAATGTGAGACAGAAACATCGATTGGTTGCCTCCCGCACGACCTCAGCCAGGCCAGGGATTGAACCTGCGACTCAGGTACATGCCCTTGCCCAGGAATCGAACCTGAGACCCTTCGGTCCTCCATTCCTTGGGCTGACGTTCTAACCACTTAGCAATCCGGCCAGGATGGAGTTTGTTTAACTTTTATTCTAGAGAGAAAAAATTGTGCTTTCAAATTGGGCAGTTTTTTATTCTTCTTTGGAAAGTTTTTTCTACCTTCATTCATGTCCTTTTTGAAATGTTATAGTTTAGTTTATATTTAACTCCTTGATGCCTGTTAAATCTTTTTTTTTCTCATCTTCACCCAAGGACACTTTTTGCATTCATCTTCAGATAGAGCGAGAGGGAGAGAGGGAGGAAGAGAGAGAGAAACGTCCTTGTCAGAGAGACACATAGACTGGCTGCCACCTACACGACCCCAACCAGGGCCAGGGACCAAGCTGAAACCAAGGTACATGCCCTTGACTGGAATCGAACCAGCTGCTGTCTGGGCCATAGGCTGATGCCCTAACCACTGAGCAACACCAGCCAGGGCTGTTAATTCTTTCGATGATTTGTATTTAAGCCTTTGAGGCAGCACACTGAGGGGGCGTTAGGCATCAAGCTTCCCCACCCCCACTAGTGTATCCCTGAATTCGTGTTTCTCTTTTAAGCGTCACCTCACTGTGAACTAAAATGCCACTTGTATTTGGGTCTGTTTTTATGATTCTCCATTGATTCAATGTGTTTTTTTTTCTCCAGTATAAAACCGGTTTTAAATTTTGCTCATGCCTGAGTATTACTAAGCAAAAACATTACTTTTTTCCTTACCCCAAAGCCAGAGCCTCACAAAACACACAGAATGCAGGCCCTTGGCACGCCTGAGCAAGGTTCTGTGGGAGAAGGGTTAAGGTGTGCCCGCCTGGCACCGAGCGCAGCAGCTGGACGTGCCAGGGTGCAAACACTGCGTGTTCTGTGGTGCCTCACTGGGAAGAAATGCTCTCTATCTGCACGTGAAATCGCAAGTTCAGCAGCCAGTGTGCATTAGGGTCATATCCTGGGGCAAAGTCTGATTTCATTCAGCATGGTAGTGGACCTAGTGACTGGGTGGTTAGCCTGCGGAGGGAAGTAGTCCCGGTGTAACCAGGCTGGAGGCACCCGGTTTATAACCCCCAGGGGCGGAGGTGGACCTATTTCAGGTGGAAAGGAGAAAGGGTGTGGTCAAACCTGGGCTATCTTTACCCTCCAGAAATGGCTCCATTGTTGGGAAAGAATAAACCCCTTTAACTAACATGATTGTTTCATCTGTACTCTTTGGATGGCACCCCACCCCTCTCTGAGCGCGAACATTTTCATTCATGCCGTCCATTCGGGCACAGGGGACCAGCCCCCAGCCCCCGCCCCCCCCAGTCCTGCTCTCCTGGAGCAAGTACTGAACCCCCAGCGACAGCTGGCTTTTCTGGTGGGGGCTCCTCACCTCCAGTAGCAAGTGTTTGCTACTTCTGGGGGTCAGTTTCTGGCATCGATTCTTGACTCTATACTGTGACAGTTGGCTTTCATCACCCTCTCCGCACCCTCTCCATTTTTAGTTAAAGAACCTTCCCGTCTTCTTCCACGGCCACTCGTGTCCTGTCAGACCACTGGCTCAGGTCCCCATTTCCCCTTTGCACTTGACACATGGCCCTCCTCAGGCCTCCGTCACCTGTGCATCTCTCTGCTGTGTCAGACCACAGCAGGAGGATGGAGACCAGCTGCCCTCTGCTCTGGAAGCATGCCTAACTCTCCAGGGGTTTGCCAGGGGCTATTACAGACCCTTATGAGGGCCTCTGCCACGGTCT